GTAAAACTAAAAATAGTCAGAATACTCTAGATAACTTCAAATGCCACGTTAATATCAACTTTATATTCAGTAGGTACAATGCGAGCAAAAACAGAGTTCAACCACTGTGCAGCCTGGTCTTCGGAAATCGGGAATTACACATGATTATAAACTGTAATTCTACTGTTCGTCAAATTTCTTTAAGTGTTATGTATATAAACAAAGGTAGAGCAGATAGAAAATTTTCTGAAAAGAATGTCGTTTGATTGGTCTTTTCTGTCTTCTGCATCTCTACATGGAAATTTTCACTTTTTTAATTTAGTTGGATTCTCTGAGCTGGTTGATTTAACTGCCGAGCTTATCGACGGTCCAACGTGCTCTCGTCTTCTCGTTCCCAACGCACAGTCTGACGCATAATTCAGTCTACCACAATTATGAATATCATCGGTGGTAATGGCAGTCTTGTATTACTCTTGTCTTCACTTCAAAGGCTCCGCTAAGTTTTCCGTTGTGGATCACCTTACACGTGTTGAATGGTGTTGATAAAAATAAGAGCACTGCACTCCACAGTGTTGAAGTAGTTTCCAAATTACTTCTCAGGCAATGCTGTCTGTCGAAGACCCTTTCAAAGTCGATGAAGTTGAGGTAGAGCTGGGAGGACACAGTCATCCAGGTCTCCATTTAATGTTCATTGATTCTCTAAACGATATTGATTTCGTAACGAATTCTGCATCAAAACATACTTTTGTCCGGCTTCTCTTAAGCGTGATGCCGATCCTTCCTCCCTTCTTCCTTACTGATATCGTTCCTGATTTATCTGTCGTGTCGTTATGCGGGATCTCTAACTGTCTCTATCTTCCCTCTGTGTGTGTGTGTCTGTTGAAGTGATTCAAAAAAGACTTTAAACTTGTGTCAGTTGTTTACAATGTGAAATCACATGGCTGTATTACAGTAGCAGTAATAATATTATTGTATTATTTATTGATCATATGAGAGGATCGATTTTACAGGAATGCTTTAATACTACTGATATGTGAAATGTCATTTTTAGAAGTACAAAACTTCCATATATTTATCAAGTTGAATACTTCAAGACAAGTGTAGTATTCTTTCATCACAGGATTAATTTATATCAGTGTTAGAAAAAATACTTGAAGGTTATTTAATTACTACAGATTTCTGATTAACCGAGCGCTGTGGTCTTATGAAACTTTAACTCTAAGAAATGCTAAAACTGGGAACATTTATTCCCCGATACGAATTTAAAACAAGCAACAAATGGTGAATACAAACAGGATGTAATGAATTCACCAAAATTTTGGTGGCATTACGAGTAGCGTCACACACACTATAGACGGTTGAGTGGAACCCGAATGGAAGATAACATGTAGAAGATCATGTGAGGAGAAAGTGAAGACTTGTGAGCAGTCGCTTAGCTAGGTAACAGTGATAGCAGCAAATTGCATTCATGGCATAGAGATGTGTCACTGAAGTCCTATGTTTCAATCGGAAAGTGAGGACTAAATAATAATAATAATAATAAAAGCTTCTAAAATTAGATAACTCAACACTTGTCTTCAACAGGAATTCAAGTGATTAGCGATATCTTAACCAGTGGAGGTGGGGGGCTCATTAACAAAAGTGTAACACAAATGACTAATCTACTGTCTGACTGATAAACCAAGATGACACTTGGCAAAGACTTCATTCACTCAGTCCACGTTGTTACAGATCAGACTATAGAACAGAAATTCTGACAATAATGCAATGATAAATAATGCAGGCTATTTAAGGTACTCTGAAATTCTAAGATGAATGATATAAAATCTTGTTATTCAGCCACCAAGTATTGATTTTCAGAAATTTTAGAACCTCAGACAGGTAGACAGATAGAGATTTAACAAAGGTTACCTCCTTCACGTGTCTAGGCAGCAAGAATCGTTTCAACCACAGGCAGTAGGAATGGATGAAAATATCAAAGCTGGTCAGAATCGGAATGGCAAGATACGCCTTCATCAACCTGAAACCAGTTTCGAGATCTTCTACACTCAGTCAGCGTAAATAACAAGATTTTGACTTTCAACACCAATGTCAAGTCAGTATTTCTATACGGGTCAGAAACTTGCACTGCGTGTAACGAAAAGGATTTCCAACAGCCCGTTGTAGATTTTCATCAACAGCTGCCTTTGCTGGTTCTATACTGAAGACAAAGTGTTCAGAAAGAACTAGCAACAAGAAACTCTGGAGATGAACAAACCAACCAAGAACCGATTGCTCAACAAATTTGTAGGAGAAAATGGAGATGCATCAGACATACGTTGAGGAGGCCGCAGAATGACTTCGCGCACAATGCAAGCCATTGCTCGAGTGGAATCCAAATGAGAAGCGACGAGTGCATCATCAGTGTGAGGGTGGCATGGAGGAGGTCGTGTGAGGAAGAGATGAGAGAGTCTGGGCAATCGTTGACCCAGCTGAAGAGGATGGCAGAAGATGGAAGAAAGTTGAGATGTGTTGTTGAAGCCCTCCCTATGTTCCACTCGGAACCAAAGGGAATATAATAATAATAATAGGTAGATAAACAATCTAGCGCGTCGGTGGCATAGCGGTTAGGACGCTCGCTGACCATGCACATGGTCCGCGGTTCGATCCCCGACCAACGCACTCCTTTACCTCGCTAAGCCAGAAATAATGCTGGTGAAGAGGAAAGGTTGGGCATGAGGCTAGCAACCCCATCCTGTAAAATAAACACTGTTACAGAAACTTTAAGCCGCTAGCTTGAAGCCCTATGTTCCACTGGGGAACGTGAAAGAATAAAAAGATAGGCAATCTAAATAGCTGTATGTGTCACATACTAAACGTTAACAAAATTCATGGAATTACGTGATATTTTGATCTGGTTCGATTTCATTGAACTCTAGTTCACATTGTCGATTAACAAAGATAGTAGCTGGACATTCCAAAGGCATGTGCTGGTCACCATAGTCTATAGCTATTGACAACCCTATCAATTGATACACTTCTCTTCTCAAACACAGTATGCCTTCTCGTAGTATCAATAACTTTTTTTTCGACACCTAATGCAGGCAACTGAAAAAGTCTTTTATTTCCAAAGTCTGAAGCTTTTCACGTCTTTTTGTCATGTCCTGTCAGTGGATATGTCTTAGTATGACACTGCTGCATTTTTAAAAAGACTGATTGCTGAACAAGGAATCTTCTTTTCAATAACTTCTTCATCAGTTTCTACAGTTGTATATCCATAATAGTTAAAGAATTATTGTTATTAAGAAAAGGTGAAAACTATAATATACGCAAATATAACACTAAACTGAATATCAAGGAAATATTAAGGAAAATAGCACAAAATTTGTCAATTTTTAGGTTCCACGGCAGCCTAGGGTAGCAGTAATAGAGGTTGAACCTGTTTCTGTTTGCACACAGAGCTGTAGTTGTTTTAAGCAATGACATCTGATGTTTGAAGCATTTAGTATCTAGAGCTCTTCGGCAGTTTATTTGGTACTTGATAGACGTACGATAGAGAAAGATTCTTCAATGCTAGTTTTATGTACTGGTTATGCCAGGTGATATAATATGTAACGGTTGATACTTTCTACTTCACCTGTTTTCAGCCACACTGGTAAGTAGGTGTTCCCGATCACAAAAAATAAATTCCTACAGCAATGAATTGACAGATACACGGTACGTAGTCTTTTAGTTGAGGAATCTTAAAGTAAGAACAACTACTGAATTGAATCATGTAATGCACTGCTTCCATTCGAAAATAGTTCACTAATATACAAGATTTTAAATCATTCTACTTGTCTGTCTGCGGTGATTTAACAATATGGATAAAACTAAGTTATATTTTCTTGTATCGAATTTTGTTATTTATTGTTATTGTTTCCTTTAGTTCCTAGAGGAACATAGGGCTTCAGCCGAACGTCTCCATTGCGTTCGGTTCTCTGCCAACGTTTTCACCTGGCTCCACCTCTGCTCACATGCTTTTATCTCCCCTTCACGTGACCACCTCCACTCCATATCACACCCTCTCACCGACGATCAACTCGCCGCTTCCTATTCGGTAGGGTTTCACTTGAGCAATGGCTTGTCGTGTGATGTCACTCACTTGATGGTTTGTTTTCTCAGAGTAAGGCCAATCCAATTCACCTCCATTTCTTCCTGCATATTTCTCTCACAATGGGTTCCTGCTGGGTTGGTTGGTTCGTTAACTGCCAGAGATTTCTGTTACTGATCTTTTCTGGCCGGCCATCTGATCTTGGGTGTCACTGAGCGAAGACAGCTGTTGATTAAAGTCTGTAGTCTGTTCGAAGTGGCCTTCGTGATGCGGCGCCAAGTCTCTGATCCATCCATATAACTACACTGACACACATTGGGGTTGAAAATCCGGATCTTATTTTCATTTTCAAGATGACTGCTGTTGATCTCCACACAGACTTCAAAGTTATGAAAGCTTGCCTTGCTTTCCCAATCCTCGCTTTGATATCCTCATCAGTTCTGTCTGTAGTTGAAACGATGATTCCAAGGTAGGTAGCTAAAAGAGGTTGTGTCCTTCAGATTTCTCACATGTATGCTGATTGTTGTCTATTAGCGGTGGTGGTGTTGTTGTCCAGGAATCTTCATCACCTCTGACTTCTCCATGTTCACTTGAAGGAGGGCCAATCTTTGATGCTTCTTCTGCCAACTTGTTACTTTTCACTTGCATATCTTTCAGTTTGTGGGAAATCAGACATATATCATCGACGAAGTCCAGATCCTCCAAGTTTTTCGTGAGGGTCCATTTTATGCCTGTCTCCTCGTTGCACGGCCCGCTGTCTGTCGCATTATCCAGTCTACTGCAATCAGGAAAATCATTGGAGATAGTGGGCAGCCAGCTTTGTCTTACTCCTGTCTTCACTTCCTTATACTAAATACTGACTGAAATTTATTGATCTTTCTTTTTTGAAAGTAATTCCCATTTAACATGCGAATTCCTTTCTTTCTTTTTCCTTATCAAAACTATTCAGCTAATGATAAAAAACCAGATGAAATAGATGCCCGCGGTGATATATTTCGTACAACAAAGTGCTCAGGATATTTGAACTCTATGTCAAATGATGGAAGTCAATTTTCGGAATTGATAACTGTCGAATTTCAACCAAGGTAATTAATTTCTTTCTCTATTCGCAATATGTATTGCCTGATTTCAAATTTTATCACAAGCTAACTTCAATCACAGAACCACTGAAAACCTGAAAGTACTAGACAGCTGTTTCATGCAACTTCCAGACTCTCCAGTGGTACATCCCTCCCCCCAGAGGAGGACCTCCAGGTTAAGAAGCCATCTGTTGGCCATTCAGTTGTTAGGATGGAATCGAATGGGCTATGAATTCTTATTCCTTCCCATTTGACAAATACATACAGCAATCGCTGGGCAGTGGTCATTGATGCGTGTTTCTCGTCACACTCAGCCTGATGGATTCTGATGGATGAAACAGCTGTCACCTACACTCTGGTTTTAGAATGGTCCTTTCACTGAAGTCAGTTCGTCATCACGTTTGAAATCAATTAAATCTTTCCAAAATAACACCAGGAGATATTACCTAACTAATAATAATAGTGATACACTGTGTTTCCAATATCTTTAATGTTTATTGATTTTATGCGATCTCTGAGAAAATCAGTCTTCGCGTTGACTTCCGCAAGCTTGACAGAATAGCGCAGAAACCCATTAAGTTCTTTCACTGTAAAAGAGTCACTGCCAAATTTTAATTCAAGGAAAATACCCATCCATACATGAATATAAGAACAATAACAAAGTTCAGCGAAGTTTCTCTTTTCGGTGGCGAATTCATTCACTTAGCTGTAGAATCGCATTTACATTTAATTATTTTGTCTGTGTGTTTGTGTACATTAGGATTGTCAAACAAAAATGAAAATAAGCTGGGTTACTGTTTAATTCATCGAAATGTTCCTTAAATGTGAAGAATGACCAAAATTGTAACTAGATGGGGGGGGGGGAAGATTGGTAAGTATTGACAAGGGTTGCGTAATATAAAATAGGATGTTAATGGAGACACGTGCTCGAAATAAATTATGTAATAGAGAGAGAGAGTAAACAAAGGGTAGATTAAGAAGTAGATGTTACTAAGATACCATTCAAAAATTCGAAGAACAAAAAAGAAAACAAAACATTTTTAACAAAGTCGTAGAACTTGGAATTATACCCGAGGTAGATGGAAGGGTAGAGAAGTTTCTTTTGTGTGCGTAAATCAAGGTTTTCCATCCGGATCGCTAAGGCCTCGGCAATGCAGAGCATATGGAAGCCTGACGTTTTCTGGAGGCTTCTTTTAACTTTGTAGATGACTTTAAATGAATTCTCCGTGCATTTTGAGTGACCAATGCTGACTATATGTTCAATTATAGCACTCTTTATTGATCCACTGTTACCTTTTCATAGCCAAGCAGGAGAATATTCTTTGACTGTTTTGGATAAAACACTCATCGAATGACCTACATATCTCGTTAGCTCCACATGAGCAAGCAAACTGATAGATACACACAGAAGTGCTCAAATGAGATAGTTTATCTTTGGGGTTGTTGAAGAACAGTGAGCGGCTTGAGAATACCAATAGTGATGTAGTAGTAAAGAGTGTTCTTTTCAGGGTGTTAGATATTTTTCTATTGAAGATGGTGGTCAGAAGGTCGCCTCTGAATGCCACACTCATGTACAGCATCTCCTTCGGCACAGAGATGGGTTGTTAGTTAGTGATTTTCAGCTTTATATGTTTATCTTTAAAGCGTGGTGGATAGCCATTCTCAAGTGGTGTCTTCCTCAAAAGAGTGATCTCCTCTTCTGTGGATTCTAGTCTCAAGAGATACTACCAGGATTCGCTTGTGATCGTTAGGTAAAAAAGGTCATCTAATAGAATAAACAGGTTATAAGTTGAGAAAAGAGCTATACAGAGAATCTTAATTCAGTAATCTTTGTTACTGGAGACAGTCATGGAACACCTAAAATCCAATACTTGTAAACAGATATTAGAAGTCGCTTACTTAGGAACGGATTTTCTATGTACCAAGAAACTATAAGCCATAAATGTATTGTGTAATAGCTAGTGATACTCTCCAGTAGACTGGGGTGAAGTAAGTGAGTCTGGATTCGAACTCAAAACTTAACAGCTGAAAGTCAAATGCTCCTATTTTTGCAAACTACCAGTTCGATTTCAGAGAGAAATGAGTAACCGTATGCGTCCACGATCCTACCTGGGATTAAACCCATGATATTTAGGTTGTGCGGCCAGCTCATCGGCCAACTAACCACTGGGACAATTAGGCCCCATGATGACTAGCTAAATTAAGTTTCGATTTGTGGTCGACATTTCTTATCATAGAAACATCTCAAGTGTAAGAGCGTGCATGTCAGTGGTTCAACGGTTGAATGCTCAACAGCCATGCACCTGGTCCGGGTTCAATTTTCGACCGACGCGCTGCTATACCTCGCTTAGTTTACTAGCTGATTGAAATCCTGGAAAAGATGGAAGGTTGAGCGCCTAACCAAAGTCACTGTAACTAAAAGTTTAAAGCGTAAAGCTAGCAGTTCTATATTCCACTCCAAAAGCAAAGCAGTAGATAGCGATAAAATTTAGGAATCATGGCGCACCATACCTCAAACTCATCTTTATCTGAAAGAAATTGATTTTTAAATAAAAATATCCATTTTAAAATCAGGAGACTGATAAATAAATGAATTGGACGAATACCAACTTAGGCCAGGTATAATGCAATCGGTTTATTTGGAAAACCAATGATTTTTCTAACTCTTCATTAGCTATTTACACCGTAATTTAATAAGCAATAGTCATTTTACGTCGTCGAGATTGTTTGTATTTGAAATATGGCTCAGTTAGCTTTGAACTAGCGAATTTATTAATCGATTGGTAACAATAATCCCTTACTGCAAGGCATTTATAAAACAACAATGCAAAGATATTACACTTACACTAGGTTAAACTAAGCGCTTAATACCAGTGAAATAAAACTTAAACAAAACTAGTAGAATATCCGTGAATCGATGATTCAATGATAGAATTCTCACTGATCACTCATGTCGTGGCGGGTTTGATTTCCAGCCAACAAACACCTGAACCTCACCGAGTTTAGTAACCTGCAGTAATTCATATGAACTGTGATCAAGATTTGACCGAGTAGTTCCAAAATATAATTGAACGCCTACTGAGAAGTAGACATTTGTAAATATTATATTTGTCAAGTCTCAGTGGAATTGAAATGAGTAATTCCAACGTTTCTTGCGTTCGGCAAACTGGTTGGTCTGAACTTTATCAGGAAAATTAATCGAAATTAAAATAACAGAGGTTTATAGAAATAAAAAGGGACTCATTTTGAATTCCGTAATTAATTTTCACCCTTCTTTTAAAACTTAGATGTCTTGTTACTAATATCTATCAGTTATTTACTTTGATGACCTTTCACCTCTGAATTTCACCCCTCCCCCTCTTTACCTAAAACTGATTAACTAAAATAATCACTTGATTGGGAAAACATTTTGATGTAAAAAACTATATATTAGTGTAGAGCCAGTCGATGATGAGGAACTAATTGAAAAGGAATTCATATTTCTTTACTGAATCTGTAGTTTTTTTAAAATAGGGACTTCTGCTGTTTTTAAAAACTTTGTCCAATCATGAGTCGTGAGACGGTCATCAGAATAAAATAAACAGACAAAATTGAATGAGCTGTGATCAAAATTTGACCTCAAACTTACAAATATTAGTCTGCTTTTTTTAAACACTTTAAACAGATGTACGTTTAATTGGTGGATGGTGAATAGCAGTGGAATTCAGGATACGCATTTCGTCCCATTCGGATTTCGTCATCTGGATGTGTGCTTTTCATCGGAATTCTAGTGAAGACGTTCGACTAAAAGTTCCTGGTCGTAGATAACTGAATATGAAAAAGAAATATTTGTATATGCTGCGTACAATGGTGTGTGTGTATGGGAAAACAGTTGTAAAACATTTGTTAGCCTCTCCGTAATAAGATATAGGCAGTCGGCAACTTAGATCATATCCATTTTTATTTATTTATCAGGACTGGTCATGCATCGTCTAACATCACTCCTTCACGTCTGTTCAAACTTTTGGGGTTCACTAATATATGTAGAGCTTCTGCAGTCAGCCTTTCTTTATACGAACCAAAGCGTTTCTTAAGAACCTAAATCCCATCAAAATCTATCTTGTGTCCCGTTTCTATCGAATGCAGTTCAATCGCTGATCTGTTTTCTAGCTTCTTTAAGTCTTCAGAGGTCTTTGGAACCACCTTTAGACATTGTTTATGCTCTTTCATCCATACATTTACCTGTCTGGAGGTATCTCCTACATATATGGCGTCACAATCCCGACAATTGATCTGGAACACACAATTCTGTTAGTTGTTTTCTTCCATTTTATCCTTAACATTCACCAGTGATGAGCGTAAGGTGTCAATTGCACAAAAATACACTCTTATGTCATGATTGTTGAGAATTCGCTTTATTTCATCCGATGTTTCTTTGTGGTAAAGAATAACCAATGTGCTGACCCAATTCTTAGCAACAGATTTCGATTCATCCTTACCTTCACATTTGAAATATCTTTTTATAAAGTTTTTGGGATAAATTATTTGATTCGTCCTCAGTAACTGGACGTTTGGCTCTGTTAATAAGATTCTTGGCCACACTTTGTTGATAAAAGGTTGTGCTGAAAAGTAGTCTACGCATCTCTCCGAATGTGTCAGCTTTCTGAAATGAATGGACAAAGTTTTTAAAAACAAGAGATTCCCTTTTTTATATCAATAAACCTCTGTTATTTTTCTATACTTTGGTTTGTAAGGGTTAGTTCTGTTTTTACGAGTTGATCACCCTTACAAACCAAACTATAGAAAATTAATCTGATGTCCGCTAGTGACTTGCTACAGGGTGGAGTTTTCTGGAGTTCTAGTCAAAAGTCGTGACAAGTGAGGTCCATCCAGATGTCACATGTGTGGATGGATGTTCCACCAACGAAAATGGTTGGGGCCGCACTAAATCGTGAATTGGTAGAAGTTAGAATTCATGGACTGCCTATTAAAATTGAGTCCCAGTGGTTGAATGGTATACGAGCCAGCTTGCCTTGTAACCGGAAGGTCCTGGTTTCGAACCCTGGTGGTGGGTGCGTACTGTCGATGATTCTCGAACTAGGATGAAACAGCTGTACAGTACTCCTGTGCTAGATTTCAATGGTTCTCTAACTGATATCAATCCGTGATCAACTTTTAAAAATCTCTGTTATGTTAATTTAGATTAATTCCCCTGAAGAAGTTCGAATCAAATAAAGTATAATTATATTTCAGTGATTTACACACAGTGATAAGTTTTTGTTATTGGTAATATTTCCAGCCAGTTCGGACCAGTTTGTCGAACGCAAGAAACGTTGAAATTACTCATTTCAATTTCACTAAGTTTTTTACAAATATAATTTTTACATAACTGGTAGTAAGCTTAGGAAAGAGAGAAGGTTGGGTTTGGTACTGTTAACCCTATTCCTTTAAGTGAGTAAAATTATGGCTACTCAAGTTTCACCAGCTTGACCCCTTAGGTTCTACTTGGAACGCAAAGGAATGAAATAACATCCAGTGTCTGCTAGTTTTCAGTCAATTTATTCATTACTGTCGGACAGATTACCAAAATATTACCAAAATAAAGTAGAACCAGATCAGCAGAAACATGGTGAGTAAAATCCCGAATTCCTTTATACCACACTTTTTTTCCATATATTTTATTTTCCTTCTAAATCAGAAAAACTGGTTGTGTTGAAACGACATGGAAGTTTGAAGGAATTCTTGGAGAGCGAACACAATTGATTAAACTAATCGGTGCTGGAAGTCTTGATGAATGTTTCAATACAATTTAGTCATTTTGAAATCCACCGGTTTCACATTTTCTTTTTCTCCTCTGACAATAATAAATCATGTATACTATTATAATATAAATTTATAATACTTTGTACCGTGTTGTTTTATTGTATTAACGTGTTAACCTTTTCAAAATTATTTTTATGTCGCAAAGTTTAAGTATTTAAAACGAATCAAAGTCGGATGAGGATAAGAATTGTCGCGGGGTGTTTTCTTGTATAGCATAAAGAAATACCAATGATAGATATTTGATAAAACACATTTAAAACAATCAAAAGTGAATATAATTGGTGAATGGTGACTAGAAGTGGAATCCAGGATGCGATTTCGTCCTATTTGGGACTCGTCAGCTAACTGGATGTACCTCCATTCCCCGGTGAGTGATGATGTTCCCACCGAGGGTCAAACACAGTGCCCAGACATCATCGAAGCATCTACACAAGAAGCCAACATGTCAACCTGAAACCGAGCACTTCGGTCCAATCAATCGACGGGAAAATCTAAAATTAAGTTAATATCAAAACTCGTATACAGAATAATACATAAGGTGTATAGATTTTGCAAAAGGGTACATAATTATAAGATTAGTAGACGAATATAAAATGTTGCATAACATGGTATGAAATTTGATAAGACAGAATTCAATATTGTGAAAAATATAAAAATTAATAATTTTGATTATAGGTTTCCAGGCCGTAGGTGTTACGAACTTCCTGAAATAATTTGAGCGCCGAGTCAGATTGATTCATTATAAATTATTTAAATTAATCCCAGCGTGTTAAGAAAATCAAAACAAGATTTTTCTGAACGTTTCGCTGTGTAAGCCACAGCTTCTTCAGCAGATTTATTCGGATTTTAATAATCATCAAAATATATATATAACACGCTGGGATTAATTTAAATAATTTATAATGAATTAATAATTTTGGTTTAAAATGTCAAGTGGAAAAGATTCAGAGTGAGAATAGTAATAATAATAATGTTAATAATAATAATAATCGTAGTTATAAGGGAAAAGTACATAGAATAACTAAATAAACAAAATGAATAAATGTCTATCCCTCTACGGCCAACGCAGAAGTAGGGATTGTACGTACTTCTTTTGTACACAAAGGTCTGGCTTAAAGTCATGAATTGTCAAGGCCTCAGCTGTCTTTGGAAGTCTGTAACGAATAAAACGCGGGAAGTTAGCATGGATTCTATATATGATCTTAAAATCATGGTCAGGGTTGACAGAGTGACAGAAGTCGATCAGTTGTTCCAAAATAGACTTTAAGCCAGACCTTTGTGTACAAAAGAAGTATGTACAATCCCTACTTCTGCCTTGGCCGTAGAGAGATAGACATTTATTTATTTAGTTATTCTATGTACTCTTCCCTTATTACTATTATTATTATTATTTATATTATTAACATTATTATTATTACTATTCTCACTCTGAATCTTTTCCACTTGATCCCCTTGACATTTTAAACCAAAATTATTAATTTTTATATTTTTCACAATATTGAATTCTGTCTTATCAAATTTCATACCATGTTATGTAACATTTTATATTCGTCTACTAATCTTATAATTATGTACCCTTTTGCAAAATCTATACACCTTATGTATTATTCTATATATGACATTAATTATTGTGCCACTTGACATTAAACTATGATTATAATCACAAATATTTTAATTGCATTTCATAATATCAAAATTGACATCTGATATGATTACAGTATTTCTCTTAAGATGTAATACAAAATCGCACACGACGAACTACTTGAGGAAATTCAAATTTTTCGGATTAACGGCCGTCAATCTACTCATTCAAATAGGTTGCAACAAAAACGCAGCAAGTTTGTTTTACCACCGCCAATACAGATTGACTCGCTAAAGTCTGTTGCAAGAGTATTGCGCAGCTCCCAATAAGCAGATTTTAAAAGTTTTACTTTGATTTATTTAGCACTAAAAGATTTCATACATTTAGTCCCCTTGGTAAATTTCAATAAAGAAAAGAAGATGAAATTTGCAATATGAGATGATATCATCATTCTATTTCACAGGTCGTCATCAGCTGCAAACTGCCTGAAATTACAATAGTTATATAGATGATAATAATAACATACTTTAATGTTTAAGTGGTAGTAGAAAAGAGATATTATAAAACTGTAAACATTACAAAGTCGAAAAGAGGGGAGAGGGTAAAGACAGAAAATAGAAGGGATTTAACAGGCAGTGTTAGCTTATAGGTTCACATAGCAACTCAAAAAACCAAAAAGCGGTTACAGTTTATGAGAATGCGATTTACTCAGTGAGTTGAGATCACTGAATTAGATTACTAATTAATGTAATCAAAATCAATATTCATTTACCCAGGGAGTGAGAGAATAATCACACTCTTTGTCTGTATGCATAAGTCTGGTGTGAGTCGTTTGATTGCAATCGCCTCAGCAAATCGTAGTAAATATACTGTCCTTCGTCTACTTAATATTTTGAAGGACTCAAAAATCTCTACGAGATGAACAACAATATGTCTGGTGATTGCACTCTGAGAATATTTACTTCCTTTCAGGTACAGGTTTCTTGGAAAATGTTCAGAAAACCGGATAGAAGCCTTTCTTTCCATCCTTCCAATGTACTTGCTCCCACAAGTGCACTTAAATTCCCAAACACAGTTGGAGGTGACACCTGCAGGCTATTTATCCACTTTTGATTGGTTTATAGAAGAAGTGGTACTGTATAATGTTACGCGTTTAGCTGCAGGGAAGCTTCTTTTTCATTGCACCTTTCATTCTTTTGTCAATCTTTTGTGACACTCCATCTCCTTTGAATCGAAGACAAATGAACACTTTCTTCTTTTCTACAGTTGAGTGTTTTTCTTTCTTATCTTTTTCTCTGCTATACTTTTGTATAAATTCCTTTGGGTATCCATTTTCCCCTAGGCATTTCTCGACGAAATCTAATTCCCCTTCCACCTTGTTGGACGAACACAGCTTCCTGGCTGTGTCGTACAAATTCCTCACCAATCCAGGTTTATAGCTTATGGGACGAAAGCTGTTATATTGAAGATATTACCCAGTCCAGGTTTCTTTTCTATAGATGGACTTTACTACCTTACCTTAGTTTGTCCTTTCTACATTTAGACCCAGGAAATTGAACTCATTGTTTTGTTCATATTCCATGATGAATTTGATGTTTGGATGGGTTTCATTGAGGCGATCATATGATGCCGATGCTTGATTGACATCTATTAATTGCATAGAGGATTTCATCATTAGTTGACATCAGTTAGAAAACCATTGGAAAGCCTGGAAGTACTGGACAGCTGTTTCGTCCTTGTTTGGGACTCTTCAGCATCTATTAAGCAACTCTAGTGCAGAACATTCAGGAATAAGTAACAAGGAACTCTGGCAGACAATGAGTCAGTCATCAGTCTATTGTTCACCTGAAAGATATCTGAACGGAAAGGGAGATGAACTAAACATACTCTGAAGAGACTGTCAAGTGAAAACACACCTATGATTTGTATGAACGTGAAGGATAAGCTACCACTGCTGGCCTCATCAATGTATGTCTACCAATTCACCTGCTTGTATAGAGCCAGGTATATCGGCTGCACCCAACGTATAACCAAACACTTACCAACATGGTTTTACAAAGGAGAAAAACGATGCCCCATGCAGCTCTATCTTAGAACATCGGATAGATTCCGGACACCAAAATACACCCCAAACGAACTTTAAAGTCGTCTAAAGAATACGAAGTAGTCTTCCTAAAAGTGTAAGAGTCAAACTTCTCCAAACTGCAGAAGCAATGGCGATTCACTTGCTGAGTCCTGAACTCTGCATGCAGAAGAAGTTCGTTCAATCACTACGCTTACAATGGACGTAATCTATCTTATTACCCGACAGGTAAATTCTACCTAATCCTTTTCTCTTCTGTCTCTTCATTAGCATTATTTTGTCTTCTCAATTGTAATATTTTACATTTTCTACCTTTTTGTTCTCTACCCTCACCCAATTTAATTTCTGCAACTCATTACTACTGTTATTGACTTGACCAACGCTCAATTTCTAGTAATTTATGTTACGTCGTCCAAATTATTTGCTCAGTGTTAGTCCTAATTTAAATGGGCATTATTCTCTACCCTGACCCAAGTTGAAACATTTTAGTCAATCATATTACGTCATCTAACTTACTAAATAACTCAGTCTTACTTTAGCTGCTGTTTAATTAACCTTGTTTCTATATTAGATCATTCTTGTATTACCTAATTAATTATCTAAACTTGACAAACTCATGTACACACACACTCACACAAATAATTATATATAAATGAGATTGTACAGCTAGCTATGTGAATGAATTCGCCATCGAAAAGAGTCTCTTCGCTGAAAGTCTTCTCTTTTTCATATGACTCAATGGGGATTTTTAAGCTACATATCAAACTCTTGAGTGAGCAACGATACGTTGGGCGTTCGAAGGTGAGATGATGGAGGTTATGAGAGGCGAGGATATGAAAGCTTGTAGGCAATCGTAGAGTTAGCTAAGAGAACTGCTGAGGACAAGGTGTAGTGTAGGCGTTCTGTTGAAACGCCCTATGTTCCACTTGGAACCAAAAGGAATAACAGTAGTAGTGCTGTGCGCGAAAATAGTATGTGGTTACATAGACATATAAAAACCGCTATTGTCTAACCGAACTATCAAATTAATAGATTGTCATTTTAGTCATTCCGATGTGCTACGATCGAACTTCACTCAGACTTTTCAATCAGTTAAACTGAATAATTAACTGCACACACCCATACTCATGCAGACACCACACACAAACCTAGACATTTACGATAAAGTCAACTAATAAACAATTTGATATAAGTTGAATGGTTTTACATAACTTGAATGCGTTTGTCTGCACAATTGATTAATCTCATAATCGACCCTAAGTCTTACTAATATTTGGCCTCAGATTAGTGAAAACCTGTCTGTGATAAGTTTAGTTTTTAAGGGA